TGACACCACCCCCAAAATCTTAAATGGAAAGGGCGGTCGAGTGATACCTTATTTTAAAGGTCTTTCAATTCCCTTTGTAATGATATAAAATTAATGTACTTCAGTTCAGTAGTATTGAAGATTTATTGATTTGAAGCTTAAATAAAACTAATACATCATCATCAGTGGAGATCAATACATTTCGCAGCAAAGTAATTTAAAAATGAAGAATGAACTGACCCGTTATTCAAGTAAATGTTGAAAATGGCCACCATGACTCCCCATGCAATAATAAAGATTTTGCTCAAAACGTTGCCGCACATTTTGCAATATTTGAGGAGTAATTTGAAGGCACTCATTCACAATTCTTTGTCGCAGGTCTTCTAATGATGTTGGCTGAGTAGCATAGATTTTGCTTTTTAAATGACCCCACATAAAGAAATCCAAAGGTGATAAATCTAGCGATCTTGGGGGCCATTCAATGGCACCTCTTATACCAATCCATCGATCTGGAAACGTCTGATCTAAATATTGTCGAACACGTAATGCGTAATTCTGATTTTCAATTATGGCTGTTAATGCACGATCTATGGCGTCTTCCAGTAATTTCAAATACAGGTCACCGGTCAAATTTCCAGGTAAGAAAAAAGGACCAACTAAATGATCGCCAAAAGTACCAGCCCAAACATTTAATTTTTGTGGCTGCTGTGTATGAACCTCGATAAATTCTGGGACTAGAATCGGACCAATATCGGCAGTTATGACGATTTACTGCGGCATTTAAGGAAAAGGAACATTCGTCGGAAAAGCAAGTGTTGAATAGAAAATGTTCATCGTTTATAATTCGTTCACTCATATCGTCGCCTTTCTCAGGAAGTGTCCTAACTGACAAAATACAAAAAATTGAGATAACCCGCATATAGGTATATTATTCCATGCTGGTTAATCTGACGAAGAGGCATTACTATATATATTTTAGTGTAGGCAACATATCATTAACCCCTGGGTGTCTTATCTACAAAGGTAAATATATAATTCCCACGAACAGACCTAAATGACCACCTCGGTGGTCGAATCATTGCCACAGTGCAATTCATACTGCAATAAAGGGAACTGGAGATCTCTTTGAACCCTCACAACTCTATCCCGATTTTCGATTTAGCAATACCAATGAATTCTTTGACTTCAAGAAACTTTCAAAAGATGTAAGAGTGTTGACCACACTGCAAACTGAGAAATGGCAGAATATTAAATGAACGGGTATTATGGAGTTTATAGTAAGAAAAGGCATGCCCACCAAAATATTTTTCAAGTCTAGCTACTACGATACTAGTTGACTGTATTGAGTTAAAAAGACTGATGACAAAAAGTATTAATATAAATGATATTAAACTAGAACAACTTAATAAGGAACCAGTAAAGATAACAAAAAAGAAGAACTCCGACTTAATTTCGTTATGTGAAAATCCAACACCCGTTGTACGCTCATCAGAATTCGAAAACTTCTTTAGAAAATTGCCCCATGAAACGGAATGAATTATTAACAACTCTGCCTTTGTTTTTTTTTGTGTATGATAATACATCAACAGTAGCTACTACTATGTCAAAAAGATAATGTTGAAATTGGTTGCTTTTCTTTTAATAAAAATTACTTTGGGGTTCGAGATGTGTTCTTCATCTCATCGCCTAATATTTGTGTCATAATCTAAATCAGTTTTAGGTATGGAGATTCAGGGAAATTTTGTACGGGGGAATCCAAAATTCAAAAGTCGATCTGAACTTTTTTACGTAAACGATTACTTAAAGAATTAAACAATGAAGACATTTTTTGAGATAATCGCATCCTTGGCTGGAAATATGATTCTTTGTTTATAATTAAATGATATAAATCCTGTATATCTTAAAAAAGTATAATAAGAACTTTAATAAAAATATATTTTAGTTCTATCTGACAGGAAGCTTCTGAATATTTTCACGAAGTGACCTACGTGCGTTTTCCAATTTCTTCCAAATTAACTTGATAAGTTGCCGCAAATATTGAAACAGCACATGATCGTCAATTAATATGGGCTGATACAGTGAAATTTTCAATACGGAAATATCTAAACTTTTCATACAACGCTCAATTAACCGCACGCTGATTTCGTTTTATTGCCTTCCTGTAAAATTTACTAAACGTTGGTTAGGACACTCTGTGAGAAAGCCGACGATATCTTCACAGAATTGTAATCGCTGATCAAAATCGTCTTCATTAAATTCTTGTACCAGGTGAATTTTATACGGATGAAAACTATGGGCCTTTAGAATCCATTGGACAGTACGTCGACTAACACCACACACAGTCTCCAATTTGCGGGTACTTAACATAGGATCTACATAAACTTGCCCTAAAACCGCCACTTCTATTGCTTCGTTCCTTATGGGATTTTCAATGTTGCGTTTTTTATTGGCGACTGACCCAGTTTTCTGAAATTTAGCTACAAGTCCTAGAACATATTTTCTATGCACGTACTAAATTCCTATTTAAAATAAGTACGATATATTTTCTTATCTTTCTTCAAGAAATAATTTTTGTGCCACAATAAAACGGCCCAATAGCTATTTTCAACAACAAAATGATAAACAAACCATGGGCGTAGTGAAGCAAATTAATCTGATGTACCTATTAAAGTCTACTTTAAGCTTTAAATCAATAAATCTTCAAAACTACTGAACTGAAACGCATGTATTTTACATCATTATAAAGGGAATTGAAAGACCTTTAAAATAAGGTATCACTCGACCCCCCTTTCCGTTTAAGATTTTGGGGGTGGTGTCACCCCCGCCCAGGGGGCTGCACGTGTTAACGTGATTTTTTGCTAAACTTGTGTCCCCCTCGAATACAAAATCGACGAATCTGAGCGTTTTTCCAAGAAAAAAAAACTGAGCTGCCAGTAAATGCGTCGGTTTCGTTTTCGATGCGCCACCCTGTATAACTGACTATATTGGCCACCCGTAAAAGTAAAATTATTGCGAAATTCGCGTCTGCATGACCGGTATGAATTTAGTAACATAGTTCACATTCGCAATTAGCGATTCGTGTCTTTACGATCTAGGCTCAAGACTTTGAACATTACTGTAAATGCGCTGTCTCAATGACGTTATCAACAATTATCATGACTTGCAACTGATAACTCACGTCATCTACAAGAAGTACTTTAAACCGTATGGATGTATTCAAAGTTTTAGTGTACTGCTATGCCTTTTTAATAACCGTGGCTCCACAAGATGTGATAAGGCAATGCAAAAAGGAAAACAACTTCATGTTAGCATTTATGGATAACGATAGTGGCGATGCTCTCTGCACAGGAACTCTTATCAACGAAGATTGGGTTTTAACTTCAGCACATTGTAGTGCTGCTTGGCAACAAAGGAGGTACCTTAATTACAATTCAAACTAACTTTTCTATACCGCTATACTCGGATAAAAGTAGTAAAGGGTAAAAATCGAAGTCTGAAAAAATTGAGTTCAAAAAGTAAGTAGGAATATGACAAAGAGACGTTATAGAGAGTATTTTAATTAATCACAAATTATTATTAGAAACATTGGAGAGAATTGGTTTCAGAGGAAACGCGTACTCACTGATCGAAAATTATTTGTCAAATCGCCCACAATCTGTGCAGATATCAGGATCGTTTAGTAAAGAAATGTATATTAAGTGTGGTGGCCCACAAGGAACTGTCTTACGTCCACTGTTATTCAATATATATTTAAATGATATTTTCCAAATCAATTGTGTTGGCAATATAACCAGTTTTGCAGATGATACTGCAATATTATATGAAGGCACTGACTGGTCTGATCAGAAAAATGTAATTGAAAATGTTTTTATCAAAATCATTCGGTGGTTTAACAGTAGAAAATTAAGCATTAACTATTCTAAAACACGTTTTTTACCATTTATATCTTATGCTAGACATCTGCCAAATTACACAAATTTCTCCTTCAACATTAATGATCAAAAAATGCAAATTAATAGAGTGCCCAACATAAAATACCTTGGAGTGGTCTTGGATCCTCACTTACGATGGGATATCCATGTCAATTATATTTTAAAGAAAGTTAGATTGGTATCCTACAAAATTAAATACCTTCGGAATATATTGACAGAAAAATATCTTCGAACATTGTACCATGCACTGATTGAGCCACATCTCACATATGGTATATTAGCATGGGGAGCTGCATGTTCCTCACATATCTATAATTTAGATGTTCTTCAAAAAAGTATTCTAAAAATGATATTCAAAAGACCGAAACTTTATCCCACTGACAAATTATACGCAGATGTTAGAATGTATGATATAAGACAGCTTTATTTCTTACACAGTATCACTCACTACCATAAATTTGTAAACACCGACCGTCATATCTCTATTTAGCGCCAAAATTGTATGAAATTATACCTAAAGACTTAAAAGATTTACGTTTCGGAAATTGTTTCTAAAGAAATTTAAAAAAGTGGCTACATTCTATATCTAGGACTGAAATTCATAAACTCATAAATACGAACATCAAGTAAAAACATAATCTACTGTAGCTAATTTTTGTCCTTTTTTGTCATTTGCATTCTACAGTTTCAACTTAAATTATTGGTCCATGTACAGGCGATGCCTTCTATTGGGCCTGTTTTGATTTTATATTTATTTACTCATACTGTTTGTTATCTTTGTACATTGAGTGAATAAATAGTGGTATTAGTATATTTTAAATGTAATTTCGGATCATAATTGTTGTAAATAACATTCCGTCTTTGATTATTGTAAATCAAACAGCAGTAACGTGTGATTTGCTGTTTGTACTCGTATACGCTTGCATACTGCATTTTTTCAATGTTTTCATAATATATTCATGTTCTTCTTTCAAAGGAAAAAGACAAAAGGAAATTTGCAACAACAAATGATTTTATGGAATTTCTTCGGAAATGGAACATGAAACTATAAGATCTCTTTTTTCTTCAAGTGTTCGCATTGTCGGTGGCATTGGTCTTCAGAATTTGCACTATTTAGACAACGTACATGTCAGAGTTGCAGATAGTATCTACGTTCATCCACAGTACTATCTGATGTATAATGACGTCATGCTCGTTAAGCTTACCTCGCCGATCAAGGAAAATCAGGGCGTTGAATTCGTCACCTTGCCTGAGGAGACGCAAGACAATTTGGCTGAAGTTTGTAGTACCGCTGAGCTTATTGGATGGGGAATGGGTCAGTTGCAGGTTATTAGCGTTAATCCTACATGTTTGTCTGGCCAATCAAAACCACATAGTTATTTTTAAAATTCTTCTTCATTGAACGAGGTTTCTGTCCTACCGGTGACATTCTTCAAGTTTAAATGTACTTCGATGCGTTCTTTTCAGGTCAACTAACAAAATCATTAATTGCTGTCCAGAACCGAAATACCGGTTTGACATTTCAGACGTAGATACGAGGGATGTCTTTCAAGTTTTGCATATAGAAACATAGTAGGCCGCGCGGATCGAACGTCAGTACTGAATCTTAACCTCACTCTTTAGTCAACTTAAATTAAAAGTTTCACAACAATACGTGCAGTGTTCTCACTACAGTTAATTTTTAAGTGTCACCAAGTCATTAGAGAAATGGAACTCAACCGAGAACATTTTCGCGCCATAATTTATCACAACTTTCAGAGACAATTATCGCAACAAGAATGCTTTGCTGAGTTACTGTCTGTTTTCGGCAACGAAGCGCCACATCAGTCGACAATTTCCCATTGGTATGGAGAATTCAAACTCATCATTGAAGATAGACATGTGACATATCGCGAGATTGAGGCGTCCTTGAAGATCTCAAAGACCTCAAAAATATTACATGAAGAATTAGGAGTAAGAAAATTAGTTTCTCGTTGGATACCCCACCTGTTGACTGAAGAGCAGAAAGCAGCCATGGTTAATTGGTGTCAAAAAACACTTGACTGTTTCAATTCCGGAAACTCAAAAAATGTGTACAGCATAATATCCGACAGTCGGCTGTTTGGGTGTTCCAAGGTGAAGAAAAGCCAACAAAAGTCATCCGTTCTCGAAGTGTTTCGAAAACCATGGTCGCGACATTTGTGTCAAAAGCGGGTCATATTGCAACAATTCCTTTTAACAAGCAAAGAACTGTTACTGCGGATTGGTATACCACCATTTGTTTGCCAAATGTCATCACCGAGCTTCGAAAAATCAACCCCGAAAGAAGAATCATCCTCCATAATACAATACAAGCTCGCACACAGCCCAAAAAACAAGGCAGTATTTAACGGAAGAAAACGTAGAATTATTGAACCATCCTCCATATAGTCCTGATCTAAGTCCTAACGATTTCTTTACTTTCCCGAAAATTAAAAACAGACTGTGTGGTCAAAGGTTCCAGTCACCAGAAGAAGCAGTTGACGCATTCAAAAATGCCAGCAAACGAGTGGAATAAGTGCTTCGAAAATTATTTCGATCGCATACAGATCTGTATTAATCTTCGTGGAGAATACTTCGAAAAACAATAAAGTCATTTAAAACTACCTACCGTGTTGATTTATTTCCATATGCAAAACTGAAAAGACATCCCTCGTATCATAAGTTGTCTAACCTAAAAACCAGACGAGTATTTTTGTCCAATCTCTTAGGTCCCACAATCAAAATCTTTGTTTCTCGGATAATTACCAGATTTTCATCGGATTTTGACGTTTTTTATCAGCAGGTCTATTACTTAAAAACCTATACAATGTCGAAAAGACCGACAATATGTCAACTGACTAGATAGGCCCTGGTGTGTAAATAGTTAATTCTGCGTTTGCTCGCTATGAGCGCTGTGAGCGTCATCTATGGAGGAATATCTCCACGATTATACTGCCAGTCAACTCCGCAGCATGCTTTGTTGGTTGCAGAATGCCGAGATTTTGTATTTTAGAATTTAAATGTCTGTAAATAAAAAATAATATAAAATGTAATTTAACTTTTTCACGTTTAAATGTTCCTGTCTGTGGCATATCTTCTCACCTGTTGATTGTAATACACATATATTTCATCAAGCAGGGATGTTCTTTTTTTATCCCTCTAATTTTAGAAATTCAGCAAATTTCTAGGATGAAAAAGCAAATGTTGATACGCAACTAATTTCAAGCTTTCCATACATCTCAAGTCAGTCTTTTTGAGACAAGAAATCAATGGTATTATCACAGCCGACGTCAACTACGAGCCGTGATGAAAGAAAGGCAACACCGCGCTCGGACGGCACGGTAGTGCTACCTGTGAAGGTCGGCCGCCAGCGGCTGTGTGCTCCGTCTCCATGTAACGATCAAGAACTAAATTTAATTTTCGAAAAGAGGACAGTTCGATTCGATACAAATCGTCTGAATATGAAATAGCTCTAAAAAATTTAAAAATACGAAATAATCGTGATATATATACGTATGAGTCGCTAATGCAGTTAACCTAATTAAAAGTATTTAGTTTACGTTTTTTGGTGTCAGCACACTGTGTTCCAACAGGCCCAGCTTGGAAATGTGGAGTTACCTGTTTGTTTTTAATACATTTACTTTCAGTTTTACTGTTATTTTTCAATTTTACATAATTTTTGAAAAAATAGACAAAAGCTTAAATAAAATATCTGCATAATTGCGGCCACAGATGCAAGTTAAAGAAAATTCACTGTATATAAAGTCAGACTGAATGCTGAGTAAGGTTAACTGACACAAAATAAATTTTTGATTATTGCTTTTCAAGAAGAAAACTTTCAATCTATCTACATTATTAATAGATTCAAAAATGGCATACATATGATAGAATATGATTGGTACATAGCTGGTTGGAATTGACAGTCCTCCTCTTTGCAAATGATCAAAATAAACATTTGTTGTTAATGAACCTTTTTCTTTAACTATTAGCGATTTGCATATCTCGCAGTTTAGGTTTTTAGAGATAGGGTGTGAAGCATATCCAGATATGTAAGTCTTAGTACTATCCTCTATGTCACAATTGGCTAAGTAATTTGTCTCAAATACTTCATTGAATATATCCAAAACTTCAGGATTTTGTTTGGTATCCAAGAAATCAAAATTTTCTTGAGTTTCTAAGCAGTTTTGGAACCTTGTTTTAATTTCTGACGATTTCTTTTCATTGAAAATATGCTTCAGCCGTATTTTCTTTTCAGCATTTAAAATTTCATCATATGACACATTGTAATTGCAGCCACATAAAAGTCTATAATTGCCAAATCGTTTTTCTAAATTATCAGTGGTGAATTTTCCAGGCAATACATACTCAATGTCAAATTGATTAAATGAATATTCAATTATATTAAGTAGAGTCAGCGTGCTTTGATATTTTCTAACCATATCAGGAAATTTTTTAAAAATTGTACTCTATAATCATATTTATTGGTAATAGGCTTACAAAATTCGTTTCGCTTCAATTCTCCTTTTATTACACTTGTATTACTGACAATATCCCACCAATTCCTGATTATTTCCAAAAAGTGTGCAGCATCATTAAACTTTAATTCTTTCATAGCAGCTATTGTTGAGTGATGGAATAAATTATCTACAAAATTTACATTTTGCCTTTCAAATGAATTTGGATGCAATGTTTTATAATTTAATTTATATGCTTTCATAACTACAGCTTCCTTTTCCAATTGATATACAGCACGAATGTTTTCAAATTTAGCATACTGAGTAATATCATTATTGTCAAAATTAGGATATACAAAAGTTTTGTCTAGGTTTTTTAAATTAATCCAATTATTTCTGATACTCTTGAAAATATGCACAACATCATAAGTTAAATATATGTTCTTACCAGGATTATGTGGATTTGGAATAGAATAATTTTCTGATGAATCCTTTGCTAATTTCCTGAACATTGCTCTATTAATTCGGTGATTATCAGTAACAACACAAATAACTTCAAATCCACATTTTTGAACTAAATTTATCACATGTTCAACCAAAGGTGTCATTTCATCACCTGTTAGATTTGAAACTGGTAGTAATTTGATAATTTCTGTTATGTTTCCAAATGCTGAAGATAGCATGAAGGCTAAAACAGTTTTAGCCATGTCAGTTTTATTTGAGGCATTCCCAACAATGTTTTGTGAGCAATAGTCCAGCCTAGATGTTATATAGCAAGCACTACAACTGGAGTCTATTTCTCATATATTATAGTCACCGATCACTTTGAACACATACACACACTTTGAAGCTTAGAAAACAAGCTTATCTCTTAATTACAGCCTCTGCGATTCCAAAATCACAAATTGAAAAGGTTATGTTTTCTCAGCGTTTTGAGCACGAGTTGCGTCGATGCAGCAAGCAGCGGCGGGAGTAACACTACCACCTACGTTGCCAGATTTCTTTGTTCACGGCTCGTAGTTGACGTCGGCTGTGGTATTATCATCAACACAGATTATTAGTACATAGATCCTCACTATGCACTTATTAGTGTTGGCTAGTGAGTTGATGTTTCGAAACATTGTTTTGAAACAAATAGATGTTTCAATGTTTCTATACGTAAAACTTTCATGCGTCGATACATTGACTCATTTCAATACAACACAAGTTACACAAGTACTGCTAACGTGGTTGCATACGCTCGATTCCTGCGTTCGGATGTGTGACTGCTACACTAATACACTGAAACATTTGAATCAGTATCGATGCCCGCTGTTCACCGAATCAGCAGTTTACTGTTTACGTTTACTTTGACGGTGATTGCGATTAATGATTTATTTTTTTATTCACTATAATCCGTAGTTAATTAAAATGTCGAATAAGCGGAGTATTATTTGGGATTATTTTTCCCAAAACTCAAAAAATGAAAGTAATGCTAAGTGCAATTTGTGTTTTTCAACATTAGCAGTAAAGAATGGATCAACGTCCAACTTGACACGGCATTTTAAGCTGAAGCATCCTACTATAAACCTTGGAGAAACTAGGAAACGGACATTAAATGTGGAAGAGCAAGAATATGAAATGGTTGGTGCAAAAACATTAAAAAGTAGTGACCCTGAAACGGCTGCAGATGAGACAAACATGAAAAATAGTGGACAAACATCTAGAAATGTGGAAAAATGCAAGGGATTCGGGACCCCAATTAGTCAGTTTCTTAAAAGACCTTTGGGATTGTCTAAACGACAAGCACTTGATAATCAATTATTAAAATTTATTGTTATGGATTATCAACCATTTAATATTGTTGAAAGTGTTAATTTTCAAAAATTTGTC